CTGCCATGTAACCTATCACATACTTATTGCATCTACTTGGTGATTCATCACTGCCACCAAGACAGTCAGGTAACTCATCACTTACTTACTGCATCTACTTTGTTATTCATCACTACCATCAAGAAAGTCGGGTAAACCATTCCATACTTACTGCATCTACTTGGTGATTCATCACTGCCATCAATACAGTCAGGCAACCCATCACATACTTGGTACTCTGATATACAAACCACTCCATCATCGCAAACAAACTCGTCTGGGTAACAGTCTGACATGGAAAAATTGTATGTAATTTGTGAGAAATGATCAATATAATCCAACGTTCTTACATTTATTTGAAAGTGTTTTTATGACTGTTGGCATACATTATAATTATGTTTTGTGTGTTTTGATCATTATTGTATTTTGAAACGTGAGTGTTAGCACACCGAGTACAGCTTTATTACCTATTGGTTGCCACAGTTTGTTCAATGAATATCATATTGTATGTGGAATTCAATGATGTTAAGAAACCCACCAAATTAAGTAGACTGTTTTATTGCTTCTGTGAAATCATAGTTTGTAATACTCTTCCATGATTTTGTGGCAAAATGTGATGGTTGGTCATTAGTGATCGCAAAACGGTAACTGGTTATTCAAGTAGCAGCAGCTGAACTTAGTTGCTTTTTGATATAAATATTAGTTATGTGTTAGTTTGACATAATACAGATTTTCAATCGTTGTGGTATGGAAGCTGTAGATCGGATTCGAAGTAATGGGAACCGAGATCTGAATATAATATTATATTCTTAGTTCAAAAAAGTTTGTAATATGAATTTAATTGAAGCTTATCTTCAATAACCGTTTAAAGTAACATTTAAATGGTTAAACTGACTTGAGGAACTGTTGTTGAGACTAAAAAAAGAAGGCACAGTGACTGGTGAGATGTGATCAACAGACTTACTAGCTACAGCTACGGCTGAGATGTAAACCTAATGTAGATGCATATTCTTATTTACGTAATTTATTCATATTTTTATCGTCGATAAGGTTATTACACATGTCCCGAGAACATATAATAATTTGTACTCTGCCAAGTCAATATAACGTCACTGACGTACTAGGACATAGATTCATTGTGCCGCAACTGGTTATGCTAGTTTACTGTCGTGATAGTAAATCGTACATTATATCATAATCTTGGAAAGAATCTTATTATAGCCACATATTTTGTTATTCTGTTGGACACAATTATCAGTGTTTTAACAAAACAAGTTCAAAAGTGAAGGTAATAAGGGGTCACAACATTTTCGCTTGTGTCTCCTCAGCAGTAACATGCAATTCTTTTTTTTATTGAAAACAGGCAGGCAGTTGACAAACTGACTCAAATTGATTTAAAACATTTTGTTTTGACTCGGGATTTCTACAAATTAAGTCGCACTAGGATACATCATATCGATAACAAATCATTGTGAAATAATTTGGTTATAGGAGACACAAGAATGTAAATCACTGTCGATTTTCATTTGCTTTATGGATTTTGCGTGAACTTCACAAATTAAACGCGACTGAGGCCTATATAACAATCATTGCTTTTATGTACGAGAAACGAGCAATGCAATGTAGGTAAATGTTTATTAGGTACGAATAAAATGTGATTATTTGCTATAATCACAAAAATAATCCTTCAACAGTTTGCCAAACTCAAATTCAAAATATATTATGAAAATCCCGCAACTGAAATATTTTTTTTGAAAAATATTTTATTGTCATTTTTGTCAATTCAATAATAATAGCATACAATGCAGTCTATTGCGTTATGTGATTCTTCATTCCACCTCATCTCACTTAAAGCGTTGGGTTTCAAACGGGAACATTCGAGCGTGCTCATAAAGAGCGCGACTATTACGCTGAACGTTCTAGTTTCAATGATGAATGCGCGCAGCTAAGAATTACATTGGAGATAACGATGTATACCTTGACAAAATGATGAATTCATGATTTGTGGATGTATATACGGTATAACACAATGGAACACAGACTAACTGTAGTCATTCTATATCGATTGTTACTGTCAAAATACTGTACCTTGTTTTGGTTCTAGACACGTCATACCACAATCAGTATTACAGCATTTATGGTTGAAAGGACATTCTGCATCATGTTGGCATTTAATGTCACATGACAGACCGGTGTTTGTAAATGGACAACGACCAGGCTTCAAACCTGTCAATAGATACAATAACTCTGGGTTTTAGTTTATCTATTTTCATTGAACTTATACCCTATGAAACATTCAAAAGAAAGCTTGTAATTCGCTACCGTGGTGTGTATTTGTCCCATTGTAACATGTATGCGCGAGATCTATATCACATCCAGATCGTGGGACTGTAAGCAAGTCATTAAATTCATTTATCGATCGAATTTTCAGTTTTATGTACTACTTGTTTTATTTAATAATAAGGTAGAGTCGATACATTCTACACACTCGGTAATTTTGCTCGGTTGCATGGAATAATTTGTTAATAATCATAGGAAATAATAATTTAAAGCAAATGTTATTTGCTTACAATTAATGGTTACCAAAATAATGTTTAACATAGTGGTATATAATGATATTTACCTTTACATTCTGGTGGTGGTTGGTTGGGAGCCGTCGCTGTGTAAGTAATATAATTTCCATACATATTGACACATGCGCACATGCCTGTTCTCAAACATTGCGTCGGTGAAAAAGTGCCATCTTTCTCACACTGAATTTCCATGAAGTTAAAATCAATGTTCTGCTTCAACGCCAAAGCAAATTCATGACAATACTTGGGCTTCTTCTTTACGTTAATTACATTATCTGGAATTACAAGTCATTTCAAATAATA